GTTCTGTTCTACTATATTCTGCTTTGTTCTAATCTATTCTGCTCTACTCTAGTCTGTTCTGTTCTACTCTATTCTGTTCTACTCCATTCTGCTCTTTTGGTGAATTCAGGCATAGCAGCAGCAAAGGAACAGGTGAAATTGAAGCAGCAGGTTCACAAAGATAAAATAAATGACAGCGATGGGCAGACTGAACACTGTGGGGAAAATTATAACAATTACAGGATAAATGCTGAAAATCTGTCAAATCTGTAAAACTCCACCTCCATCAGAAAATCAGCCTCTTCCTAAATTATTCTTCTCTGTTTGTTTCCCACTGTGTGCTCTAGTTCCATAAATAGACGTATTATAGAATGAGTTGCTGGCTGGATGCAGTAAATGTGACATCAGGGAGATTTTCAGAGGGAGATGTATATGGGTGGAGGTTGTGACCCAATCCGATCCGATAGAATCATCACTCAGTGAGAGTCCTCCCACTCCCAGCTACTCACTCTAGAGTTGCATTTCTAGGATGTGACTAAAGAGGAAAAGTTCATCTCCTGATTGTTTGCATTAGAACCAGTAGAAACATCCATGTTGAATATCTTGTTCTCCATCTCTGTTCTTTACAGGCTAGAAGCCGGAACGATGGGATGGTGTCACCGGATAAAAACAGGTGTAACCTGCCGCCGTCCGCTGAGGTGGAGGCCGTGCCATCGAAGGGTCCGCGGACCGTCGTTCTCCAAAAGAACTCGCAGGGTTTCGGCTTCACTCTGCGCCACTTCATTGTGTACCCACCAGAGTCTGCCCTCCAGAGCCTCAAGGTAACTGAGGGCCCCGGTAGGTTATGTTGGTATGGATGTCACCGTGGTTATAGCTAAATATTAAGCTCACTAAAATATAATGCGTTAAAGGATGATAACGTATTTCCTAAGAAAATGAATGCAGTTAAATCCTTTCTGTTTCATCACTGCTCCTGATCTGTACAGGAAATGGGATCCAGGCAGGAGCTAATTTTTTCAGCTTTGGATTTAAACATAAATCTAGTTTTTTTGAGTTTTTAGTTTTTCCTTTCATGTTAACATTATGGTATATAGTGTGTAACCGAAAGAAAAAAACAACTCAATTGCAGATAAACATGGTCTGATCAGATTTAGCCGGACTGCTCCGAGTATGCACCATGATAAAATCAGAGAAGCAGTTTAACGGAGAAAATGTAAAAAGCATCAAATTGTCTCAGAAAAGTTATTATTAAATATAAAATTTATCATTATTTTTTTTTCCTCCTAGTTTAGCATTCTTTATTGATTTTAAGATGGATGGATGGATGGATGGATGGATGGATGGATGGATGCAGAGGCCAAGCAGAAAGCTCACAGAGCTGAGAATTTATATTTATATACAGCAGCCATTCAAAATGCTCCATCCCAGTCAAAAGCCAGCCAAATGGACGCAAAATTCCCTCCACCTTCGAGCCACTGCAGTGACTCCCCCTTGCATATTTTTTACTTTGACTCTACCCTTTCACTAATTTCTAGGGTCTGACCAGGAGATGGTGCTTCTCTTTAGATCTTAATGTCCAAAAATCATGACAGAAAGAATATTTTAAATATTTAAAA